CAAGAACAGCCAACAACACATCAATCTGGACGCAGGATTGGCCCGGGCCACACATCGTCCGGTGCAAACTGAACTGAACTTAACTGAAATGAACACCGTGACCTTGAGGTTTCGTGTTTAACGCAACGCGCGTCGACGTCCGCATACCTATCTCACACGTCAGCAATAATGTTTTACACATTTGTGCTGGTTTTACTGTTAAATTGGCTGTCACATGTAGAATCTATGTATTTCTATTTGAGTAGCCAAAAACCCATGTGCTTTATTGAAGAAGTTCCCGATGTAACTATGGTTAAAGGTAAAAAAATTGACGGAATTTTTAGTGTACATTCCGAAGGTATATACAAAATTTCTGGAGAGAGGGGTCACGATTCTTCGGCCGAAAGTATTCACATCGATGTCTTAGATCCAGATCATAAGCAAATCTTATCTCGCGTGAGTTCTTTATTTTGTGTTGCTTTTAATTTCAAACGATAATACGGTACATGGAAACCTTTGTTTGCAAAGAGATGACAAAAACTCACTGCTAACCTAGATGTACGCCGAACGATTTGGTGGTTCTGGTTTGGAAAGCAACGAAATGGAAGGGATTGCATAGCCCAGATATCTTGGCTCTCGGGTTCGAGGCTGACGCCCAATGGTCCCGGATCCTTGATGGTTTCTTGTCGTCTGTTCTTGGAGAATGCAACTGGAAAATCAGAGAAAACTGGAGGGGCAAAATATCGTCTTGCCCGGGGACTAGCGATGCTAGTTATAATGGCAACATTATTAATAAATGTAACAATTTGCTATAGTAAATGGGGAAAGGCATAAAAAACTAGTAGTGTAAAAATAATAAAAAAATAAGAATGTTTTTTTGTTTGTTACAAAAAAAATTTTTTTCGAAGGAGAACTCAAGAGGAGGCGACTAGACCTAGATACTTATCAAGTCGAGACTTGAATGACGCTTTGCTTGTTGAAGAGACTATCTCTTCTGATAGTGCGTTCCACTGAATAATTACCCTGAAGGTGAAGAAAAATGTGCGAAGTGTGGTGCGGGGTTGAGGTTTGTACAGCTTTTTGCTATTACCTTGTGTTCCATCCGTGGGGGCTAAAGTGAGAAACTTATCTACTAGACCCGAAGAGAACAGGTGGTGTAGAAGAAGCAAGTCACCCCCTAATTCGCCTGACTTCCAGAGAATACAGATCGAGCTCTACTAGACGTTCAGGTTAGGAGAGGTGTTGCAATTCAGCCACCGATTTTGTTGCCGCTCTCTGAACTCGTTCAAGAGCATCACGGATCAGGCCAGAGTGAACAACTTGACTACCATATTCTAGGAGAGGACGGATAAATGTGCCAAAAATAAGTGGAAAGTCTTTCTTGGTGATATGGGGGAAAGACCTTCAAAAGAGGTAAAGAACACGGAAGGTAGATTCGCTGACTAACTGGTTATGGTGCGAAAAAGAGGGGTTACTATTTAATCAGAAACCCAGGACCTCGTGCAAATTGGTATGCTGAAGAGGTTGCGTACCTCTTATATGAAACGAGACGGGAGGGAAATTCCCAAAAGTAATGCCTACGCACTCGTCACCATTGATGGGCAGATTCCATTCAATATTTTCCACATCTGAACTAAACATTTGTTTCCATAGGTAAAC